TAGATGAAATAGAAGCAGATCCAGAGAGTCAGACTCACTCATTTTAACGTGCCTGTCCTGCTTGCAGTCATCCCAGCCACAGATCTGTCGGAGCAGATCTCCACCGCGGGCACCGAGGCCTCGGGGACGGGCAATATGAAGTTCATGCTGAATGGGGCCCTGACCATCGGGACCATGGATGGGGCCAACGTGGAAATGGCAGAGGAAGCTGGGGAAGAGAACCTGTTCATCTTTGGCATGAGAATCGATGATGTAGCTGCCTTGGACAAGAAAGGGTGAGAGAATGGCCCACCCAGGTATCCCACTCAGGCTGAGTCCCAGGAGATGTGGCAGCAGACATCTCCCAAGAGTCAGAGGAGCCTCCTAGCCAGGGATCAGTCTAATGAAACCCAGCAAGCAGAAGTTAAAGGCGCTTGGGCCCCGGTGCATGGGGTTGTTGCTCTTCGGCATCAGCCATTGCAGAGCGGGCCTGAAGAGCTGGTCACTTCTCTGCATCCTGTGATATTTACCTTGATCAAAAGATAAACCAGTTTTCAGTTGAAGTTTTCGCCTATGATTTCAGATTGCAAACAGATGGACTAAAAGGTGGGAGAGGATAGGTATGGGTGTACCGAAGCACCCAGGAATAGTTTCTCTTAGTCTATGGGTAGGTTTATTAACTAGACTTATTAACCTGGATAAAAATAAAAATAAAGAGTGCTGCCCAAAGGAACTGCAGGGATCACAACATTTGGGGGTTGTCGGTATACTTCCTGATCCTGGGAAGTAAATTTTAACTCAGTAGCAACAAATCTGGGGATCTGCGGGTCCAAAAGCAACTGGTTAACTTAATATAATGCTTATTTAGAGCCATAAAGTCCGCTTGAAATGAATCTTATTGTCTTTTACCAGACTAGACTATTGTTCTGGGACTAGGATTTTTTTTTTTTTTCTAATCTACTGTCAATGTCTTCATTTACAAGGAACTAATCAACTTTAAGTGTGTGTATAGGGTTGAGGGGAGAGAAATGTCATGATCTAGTCAATTATTACTGATATTGAACTTTGTAATGACTTCTATAAAATTTAGTGTTTCTGAATGCATTTTTCACAGCTAATGTGGTGTCTACTGTATTGCTAATCACGAACACTAATAGAACCTTCTTCTTACCACACCCCCACCCCACAGATACAATGCGAAAGAATATTACGAGGCACTTCCAGAGCTGAAGCTGGCCATTGATCAAATTGACAATGGCTTCTATTCTCCCAAGCAGCCTGACCTCTTCAAAGATGTAATCAACATGCTATTTTATCATGACAGGTGAGTTCCCCCAAGAAAGTGATTTTATTTAAGCCGTGTATAAGGAGCAAGAACATCATAAACCAACTACAACCCAACTTTGTAGATTAGCATAGATCTGTGGTCTGACAAGCTAAAGTAGGCTTGGAAAGAAAAATTAAAGACTCTCCTCTGGCATTGCTAGGAAGCGCTAAAGATAAAACCCACAAATCTGGCATTCTTTTTCCTCTTCCACCAGTGGACACAGCTTTCATCCCTGTAATGACATTTTTCCTTGTGGGGAGGGCCATAGAAAGGTTGAGGGCTGTTTACAGTTCTTGTGAATAGAAATGTGAGTTTGGTAAAGTGGCCATGAAACAAGAGTGAATTTTAAATGGAATCTTAACACACACCTGTTAATAAAGCTTTTTGTTGTTTTGATTTTTCCTCTCCATCACACACAACAAAATGACAACGCAGGTTTAAAGTGTTTGCAGATTACGAAGCGTATGTCAAGTGTCAAGAAAAAGTCAGCCAGCTGTACATGGTGAGTACTCAGCTGAGATGTACACAGGAAACCAGCTTAATTTAAAATTCTGTTTCTTTTTATTAAGTCTCAATAACAGGGCCCCACTGACCAACCAGAAAAGGGAAGTGAGACAACTTCTAGGTTGTTCAGATCAAAACTCGACTTTTCCCAAGTTTAGGCAGCAGAGGTTGTCTCAACGTTTCCATAGCAGCTGTCAATGTTTTAATGTCCAAGTAAAAAAAAAAAAAAATCACGAATAATTTTATTTTTATTGGGCACCCACATGTGGCAGGTGTGTCATGGAAACTAAAGGTATAAAAGCCAAATTGAATGCTCCTTTTACCCATTCGCTGGTTCAACAGAGAGACATGGGGCCTTCCCACAGCGGACACTGTGCTGGGCACTGGCAAACTGGCCCCCGCACAGTCAGTCACCTTCTTCTGACCACACCCCTCCAGGAGCCTGTTTAGTGCACGTTAGAATCACCCAGGCAGCTTGTTAAAATACAGGTGCCAGTCTCCCTGATCCAGTGGTGGCTGCGATCACCATCAGTATTTGAAAAACCTGCTTAAATGATTCAAATGCTGAGCCTTAGTTTATTTCAAAGACCCCCTTTGTCTTCGAAAATTGCAAAATAAGTACATCTCCTGGACTACCCGTGGAGTGGGGCTATATGATTAGAATAGAATATCAATGCATAGAAGAAAGGTTTCATGTTTAAATTTTTTTAAGAAAGAAAAGGAACAAGAAAGACTATACTTTAAAAAAAAAAAAAAAAAAAAAAAAAAAAAAAAAAGGCCGGGAGGAGGAGGAGAAAGGAAGGAGAGGAAAGGCGAGAGCTGTGCACATCTTCACTAAGCAGCCCAGCCCTCCGGGTTCATGAGGAGACACTAGGAAAGGTTCATCATCTCTGATACAGGAAACTTTTAGTGAATTGCAGGCACCACAGAAGAACAGATTCCGAAAGAGGCTGGCTCTCTGCCAAGACTCCAGGATGGGTCTCTTGGGGTTGATGTCCTTGAGCCTTCTGGTTGCCCTGGTCCCCATCGTCTTTATTTTCGCCCTCCAACTTGAAAACCATCGTACAGCAGACAAGTGAAGATCCATAAAATCACCACCTCCTTCCCTTTGTATTCATCAGTAACTACTTCCCACAGAAGCATATTTCACTAAGATTTCTTTCCATTCCTTTCCCAAAGCAGGTAACAGGGTGGTTCCTACAGTCGTCCCCGGGTATCCGACTGGGTTTTAAACTCAAAGTAGGCTCATTCAAGGCTGATGCTGCTTCACAGCCCTTAGCTTCTGGTAGAGTCCCATCCAGTCCCCCAAACGTGTGCAGACCAGAGTAATTTCCAGGTAATGGCCACAGCAAGGAGGAGCAGTACGTGAATTAAGCTTAGGGGCCTACTTCCTGCTTCCTGAACACTGGAGAGAGCAGCCTCAAAGACAGAGAAAGGAAAAGGGCCACCTCTCTCTCTTTCCTCTTGATTGCAACCCATGCTTGTGTGTAGAAGGGCTGCAGGGGGAAAGAAATAAAATAAAACAGAACAAGAAAGGAAAATCCGGCCAAGGGCAGGCACAGACGTGAATGTCAGATTTGCACAATGGGTCTCTTCTGTTAAAATGGCCCCCAGCCAAAGGATGCTGGACTAGAAGCCAAGTATGTGGGTCAGTCTTTCTTGTTCATTAGTGCCAATTGCACTTCTTACTCTTAACAATAATTGTATTATTGAGGCTTAATGACGAAACTTCCCGTGCATGTGAGTTTGTTTTCTAAGCCTCAACAATACGAAGAAAGTGAAGAGATGACGCTTTTATTCTTTTATTTTAGTAAGTTTCCAGAGTCTGAACAAACTCATTTCAGACTCTTTTCTGCAGTACCTTAAGGACTGATGGTAGTTGTAGATTTTGTAATGCTTATAATGCATTGCTATTTGTTTTAAATAACGTTCTGGTCATCTACAATGAACTCTTAGAGTTCTTTACAAAATCATGAGGTTATTAAATAATTACTTTCTTATATTCTTATTTGTATAAAGTATAAGGTTTGGATGTTGCATATTTTATTAAGGATAACACCTTAATTAATCATGTTTTGAAACCTCAACGGGATTCAGTATAAACCTACTGGGACATCTACCTTCAGGGGGAAAAACAAGAGAAGTAGGTCAATAAAGTCTCTCAGTGGCTCGTTGGCATTCTAGCATAGTGTTTTCCAAACTTTGTGAGCCGCAGGCTAAATCTCTTGACTTGGTTTCTAGCAGATAGTGAATATTATCCTTTCCTTTCATCTGAAGTTTAAAGGAAAGTATCTTCATTTGAAACAAAGCATGGGAAATATGATTTCTATGCCAAAACATCATCACTACAGCAAAAATTATCAATTAGGTCATTTATATCCCTGGTTTCCCTGAAAATGAAAAAATACATATTTTTCATTCTTAAGAGAAATATATATACTCTAAATATTGCAATAGGAGAAAAGCTCAGTATGTACTTAGCTCTCAACATGTGTATTTATAATTCACTACAATTTACTCCTATCGTTTTCTCCATGAAATGTGCTTTTATATGCTTGGCCTGATGTTTGTCCTAAAGCCCTGGGCCATATGTATCTGTGTTGTTTACAGAATCCAAAGGCCTGGAACGCAATGGTACTCAAAAATATAGCTGCCTCGGGGAAGTTCTCCAGTGACCGAACAATTAAGGAGTATGCCAAGGACATCTGGAACATGGAGCCTTCAGATATAAAGATTTCCCTATCCAATGAACCTAGCAATGGGGTGTACAAGGCCAATGGAAAGTAAGTTGTAAAGTATCCCTAAAAAAAAAAAAATAGTTTCTTATTGGACTTGAACCTTTTTGCAACATTCTTTGATTTTTATTTTGTTTTGTTAGCTAACGATCCAGTTAAGTATCTCTGGGGATTGGGCAGGGAGAGTGTATAACTGTATTAGAGCTAAAAATAAAGTATGAATTTCCAGAGCTACCTGAGTGTCAAAAGGTATTATTTTATAACAAACTGAGTAGCATTCGAGGACCTTGCCCTAGAAAAATGCGTGGAACTTTTTAATGCCATTTAAATAAACTAAAACTCAAATTATTTGACTACATCGGAGCACCTTTCTTACACGGCTACCCAAGTCCAAACAAAGACTACACCTGCTTCACAAATAGCCCAGGGTGTTTGGTAACTGCACATTTTTATATGGGGTCCAGTTTTTACCAAATTCTGATCCTTCACAGTGATGTTTGAGCATGCTCCATGAACTAAATGAGAGCATTCCATACCACCCAGCATCCATGCTTTGTAGCTGGCAAGTGACTGGCAGACTTTAGCTCATCCAAGCATCTCGGTACAGTTTTATACAAGAAGTACACATCACAGGTGGTGTTTGGACCAAGTCTTCAAGGGAGGTTTCTGCTGCTCTCCGACCTCACGCCCACTGCTGGCTCAGGAACTCTCTGCAGAAAAAGGACCTAGATCAGATCACATGCTTCCCCCACCTCGAGGTCCACGTAAGCCAGATCAGCCCTAATTGCCTGTAGGGGAGAAAATCACATTTAGCAAAGCTACTCTTACCTCACGGTTTTTAACAGGGTGGGGCTCCTACAAAGCAGGTTGTGTTGGAAACCAGGAGGAAAGATCACCATCTTGACCCTGTCTTTGTTCCTGTATGCATTGTGTGCAATTTCATAGAGCTGCAAGGGCACAGAAAAACAGACTTAAGGCTGACCATCAAGACTGTTGTTTATCTAGGCTGGTTTTCTTTCTTTTTTTCTTCCTTCCTTCCTTCCTTCCTTCCTTCCTCTTCCTTCCTTCCTTCCTTTCCTTTTTTTGTTGTTGTTTACTTTTTTAAATTTTTTTTTACATATGTGCCCTTATTTCCCCATTACTCCCCACCTCCCACTCATGCCCCACCCCTCTGCTGTCTGTGTCCATTGATTAGACTCATATGCATGCACACAAATCCCTTGGTTGATCTCTCCCCCTTACTCCCACTGACCCCCATCTTCCCTGAGGTTTGACGTTCTGATCGACGTTTCTCAGGATCTGTGTATGTTCTTGTTCATCAGTCTATGCCATTCATTATTTTCCACAAATGAATGAGATCATGTGATATTTATCTTTCTCTGCCTGGCTTATTTCATTTAGCTAGGCTGATTTTCTTACAGCGGTACAGAAACAGCCAGCTTGAGGAGTTAGTCCCATTAGGTCAGAGACATGAAGACTCTCCACATTCCCAACTGACTGCCTCTACAACTAAAGCACTGAAAGCTGCATGACTAGTAGAGAATGCCGATAGGACATCCTTCCACTGTCCATACCTCCCTGTAAGGAGACAAGGAATTGTAATGAATGCACTTTGGTTAAAAGGAAAGAAATTGCCTCCCCATTTTTAGAGCCACTACAGGAAAGATACATGTCCCTATAGTATCCTGGGTCCCCACAACACTTCCAGGTTCACAGACCCCAAATGAGGAGTCAAGGTCCACCACAAATGCTCCTTGGAGCGATTAGCGTGGATGCTTACTGTATACACCAGGCAGCATGGTTATTATGGGTGTAGAGAATCCCTTAGAATGTCAGAGACCCTCCTTTGGGCTCTCCTCAAAGTTGGACTAGAAGAGAAGATGGTGAAATAAGAACAATATGTCTCAGTCAGGACTCAGTTCACAGTTACCTGTTTTCCAATCTCCAAAGGCACTGTGCTGTCATCCTCGCCATGAAGGATGAGGATGGGGGAAGACAGGAATTTTACACTAGGAACAGGTAGAAGAAAAACATTCAGTTCAAGAATTACACGCTAGGACTTCTCCACCTCCTCCAAGTAAAAGCTTTACCAAAACATGAGGTTTGCCCAAATACAAGAATTCTCTTTCCTTCCCTCCCAGGCATAACAACTTCATATATAACAAACTTCACACAGTAACTTATTTTTCTTCTGGGTAATAGTCTCTTTCTCCTATGTACTCATGTAGTTTAATTAGGTATCTAATTAATTTAATCTACTTCCATGTGATTTTCTTTAAAATAATAAAGAACACTGAAGTATTGAATTTGTAGAGAAAATTAAAAGAACCTTATCTTTTTCCTTACTCCACCTAATATCATAATACTTGGAATATTATAATTAAAAGAGCCCTGCCCTAACCGGTTTGGCTCAGTGGATAGAGTGTCAGCGTGCAGATGCAAGGGTCCCAGGTTCAATTCCAGTCAAGGGCATATACCTTGGTTGCGGCGCACATCCCCAATGGGGGGTGTGCAAGAGGCAGATGATTGATGTTTCTCTCTCATAGATGTTTCTAACTTTCTATCCCTCTCCCTTCCTCCCTGTAAAAAATCAATAAAATATATTTTAAATAAATAAATAAATAAGTCCTGGCCAATATGGCTCAGTCGGTTGAGTATCATCCCATGCACCAAAAGGTCACCTGCTTGATTCCCAGTCAAGGTACATACCCACGTTGCAAGTTTGATCCCTATTCAGGGTGCATACATTGAGACGATTGATGTCTCTCTCTCTCTCTCCCTCTCTCTCTTCCTCTCTCTCTCTCTAAAAAAAAATCAATAAAAACTTTTTTTAAAAAATAAAAGACTCTAAAAGAAAACTAAAGAACCCAAAATAACAAGAACTACCACAGGACAAAATAGAAATCTTTGTGACAGTTTATTCACTTTTCCCTATAAATTGGAATGAACATCTAATTAATGGGTTTGATTAGCTTCCTGGTCAACTTCCTATTTTGGAGGAAGCCTTTCAAAAAGGCTGTGGCATGAAGAATGTTCGTTCTTGACTGCAATGACATTCTCAATACTTCCCTCCCCAACCCCATTCTGATACCCGTCCATCCATGCCAGTGAACTGCTGTTATTCCTGAGCATGTTATATCCCTCAAGTGTGTAGAAATATAAAAATATTGATAACAACTACATATTTGCAGGTGCTCAAATTCTCCAACTATGAGAGGGAAACTTGCCAAGTTCTTTTCATTGGATTTGCTGTCAGGTTACTAGGCTGAATAGTAGATAGATTTTAGTTATGTGCGGAATAAGGCCTAAAGTCAGGAATCCTTAAATCTACAGCTCCCTTTATGACTTCAGAGAAAATATTGAATCTGTAAAGTCATCAAAGAAGTCATAAGTAAAATGCCAAATACTAAAAACTTGTAGATACAGCACTCTAAATCCTATGCCCACCTGCAAATTCTCATCTAGTCTTTCAGACTTCTCATCTACCCATCCAGTAAGTCACAACCCAACCCCACCGCCAGAATCGTACACGCATAGTAATAGAACAATGGACATATTTAATCATTAGCTTACTTTTCATCATTAGGGAAGACTATTTTGTCTTTTCTCAGAGCATCCATAAGTGTTTGTAAAAATCCTGGAAGTTTCTCGTAAATCTGTTTTTTTTAAGGGAAAAAAACAATTAAAACTTTGCCTGCAGCTATATAATTTGTTGTAGTTTTCCACCATGAATGATGATACTATAGAGAGTAACTTTCTAAATATAATAAACTTTTTTTGAAGGAAAAAAAGCAAAATTTTTATAATTGTAAAAGTAATTCATATCTTTGTAGGGAATTTGGAAAATACAAAAGGAACTGAAGAAACAAATCACACATAAACCCACCATCCACAGAACCTCACTGACTGTCCTTTCTTTAAAATACAAACAGCACTATTAACTTATTTCTTCATATTCTGAAGGAAGCAGTGATATTCATAATCTAAAAATTGCTTCTACAGTGAATATATTGATAACTAACTGGTTTAGTTGGGGAACAGAATATTCCGATTAGTCAAAAAACCCTGTTGAAAGTACACAATACATATAACTAGTTTTAAAGGATCTGAGTGTTACAAACTGTTGAATTAATACTGCAGTTGTTTTAAAAGGCATGTCAGGTTTTAAAATGACCACCAACTCCAAATACAACAATTACATTCTAAACATACTGAATTTCCTTTTTTAATGGCAAATTCCAGTGACTTAAATTCTAGTTAAATCGGCTTTATCATATTTTGATGAGGTCACTAGGTAAATTATATGCCAAAAAGCATTCATTTCAACTAAAAATGAGGAAGGGACAAAACCCTTCCTCACCAACTTCAATTCTACCCTCAAACTATATCCCGAATACATTCATTTCTCTCCATTCCCTGTCACCCATCCTAACCCACCTTTCCTCTCTTGCTTGAATTACACCAACAACTGCGAGTGACCCTCTGCTTCCACCCTCTCCCCGCTATAGTCCATTTCCCACAGGGAAACCAGTGATGGCTTTAACAAGGTGCCAGTCACATCCTGTCACTCTTTTGCTTCACACCCTCCAAAGGCACTTGGAATTCACCCAGTGTCACTTCGGCCTTCGAGGCCTGCCACGATCCGGCTGCTGCCTCCATCTCCAGCCTCATCCTTCACTACGCCCTCCCTCTCTAGGTCAGGCCCAGCTGCCTTCTGTTCCTGGAACAGCCTCGATCCCACCCCAAGGCCCTTGTCCTTGCTTTTGCCTCAGTCCGAGTCCTCCACATTTCCCCGTGAAAGCTGGCTCCTTGTCTTGCAAGTCTCAGCTCAGATGATATTTTTCAGAGCAGTTTTCGCTAACAACTACGGAACCTTGACCTCCCACCACCCAGCCATTCCCTGTCACATACATTATAACTTTCACGGCACTTCTCTCTACTGAAAATCCTCGTGTTGTGGACTAGTACTAGTACTTGTCTTCTGTCTCTCAAAGTATGTAAACATCATAGGAGGATGGACCACAGCTTTCTTGTTCTCTGTGGTATCTCCAGAATCTAGAAAATGTCCTGGTACCTAATAAATATTTGCAACACATGGAATGAGTCTATTATGGTAATATTCCTGGTGTACACTTTAAGCTATCATCAGTCCTTTTCATCTTCCTGTGAGTGAGTGAATTTCACTCAGATTTTATTCCTTAGAATAGAGGGGAGTGGGAAGAAGGTTGTAATAAAATAGGATGTTGTCTAGGGAAGCAAATGGGAACAGAATTGCTAGGCTGTGGCCAGTAAATATGAACTTCAGCTTCACGATTTCAAAAAGAAAAGAATTATGTTCACCATAGAAGCCATTTTTAGATTATACATATCACTGCTCCCTTAGGAGTACAGAGAAATTAGAGTTAGCTGCTGTCGAATGTAACTTGTTGTAGTCTCCCTCAATGAGCTATAGTAACATAGAGAATAGTAACTTTCTAAATATAATAAACTTTAAAAAAAAAAACTTTTTCTGGTTTTAAAAGGTAAGTCATGCCATTGGGTAAACTGTCAGGAACTTGGGTAAATCGGGGAATTGGGTAGGAAATGGGTATAGATCTGCTGTGAAGACAGATGTCAGCGGCCGGCGTTGGCCTCAGGAACCTCCGTGGTTTGGTGGGATCTGTCTGACCGGCGTTTCTTGCCTGGTCCCAGAGCAAGTGATTTGCATTCAGGTACAGTCTGCAGATCCCAACACTGTCTCTCCTTCCCTTTCTCCCTTTGCCGGCCTTTCACCCACACTAAGGGCAAGATTTCTTATTTTGTTTACTTTTTTCTTTGTCTTCTGATTCCACTACCCCTGGAATCAGGACTCCTCTAGGAAAAGTCAATAAGAGAAGCCCTTCAGCAATTCATCTCAAATTCCAAAGGAGAGAGAAGAAAGCTGGCCTGAGCCAATAATCTGCTTTGCTATTCCTCACTCCTCCCAGCATAGGTGCCCTTTGAGACTCAGAGGTCATAGCATCCCCTCCAGCCAAGAGCACAGCCTGGGTTCCTAATTGGGTCTCCCTGCCTCCTCTCTGTTCTGGAATACACCAGATAAATATTCTTAAAATGCCAGATACATGAAAGGATAAGCTCACATAAAAGATATAAAATTACATTATTAAGTATATATTCCTAAAAATATAACCTAAAAAAAAAAAAAAACTAAAGCAAAAATTGACAGAACTAAAACAGAAATAAACAATTCCAAAATAATGGTGAGATATTTTAATATTCTTCCTTGAGCAACTGATAAAACAAATAGTCAAAAAAATCAGTAAGGATATAGAAGAAACAAATGACATGATTAACAGTCTAACTGACACATTAGAACAGCATACCCAAAATAACAGACCACATTCTTTTCAAATATATGGAACATTTACCAAAATTGACCCTTTGTTGGGACATAAAACAACTCAGAGCAGATTTCAAAAGCTAAAATCATACAGAGTATACAGGATTAGGCAAAAGTAGGTTTACCGCTGTTGGTATGGAAAAGAATACAATAATTAACTTAATTTTGAGAAAATTGATAAATATATTCCAAAATATATGTGGAAATGTAAAAGATCAAAATGGTCTTGAATAAGAACAAAGCTGAAGAAGTTCACTAGATATATCAAGACATATTATAAAGCTACAGTCATTAAGAGATGTAGTATTCATATTATCATGGACAATAGACATGGGAGAGATGTGAGACTCTCCAACAGACCTATGAATATATGTAGAGAGAGATACTGGTATATACAGACATTGGCACCGCAGTAATGGGGAAGGTCCATTTAGTGAATGGCAGTGAGCCAACTGGAAAGCTCTAAGAATTTATATATCCTACATATGCAAAAATACATACGTGGGATATGGCTCTAAATGTAAAAGGTAAAACAATTTCAAGAAGACAGCACAGAAGAGTATCTTTAAGCAGAGTTTTATTAAACAGGACTCAAAAAGTATTAACCATTAGAAAATGTTGGTAAACTGGTTCACATCAAAATATAGGAATATAGAGTAAAAAAGCAAAACAAATATTTGTTTAAAAGCAAAAAAATAGAATATATTTGAAAAACAATTTTAATGACTTACCCTATGAAGAACTTCTACAAATGAAAAGACAACTCAATTTGAAAATGAGCAAAAGACATGAACAAGTATGTCACAAGAGATGATATCTAAGTGGCTAATAAACATATGGGAAAATGCCTGGCTTCCTTAGTCATCCAATGCAAATTAAAACCACAATGAGATGGCAGTATGAGGGTAAGGATATGATGCAATTGAACTCTCTTGTACGGTAAGTGGAGAGTAAAATGGCAAAGTCACCTTGGAAAACTGCTTGGCACTCTAACTACTAAAGCTGAATTTATGCATACCTTATTATCCTGCAGTTCCACTCCCAATGTATACTCCATTGAAATATGTACACAAGTTTAGAGAATACATGTTCAAGAATACTTATAACAATGATGTTATTAATTATCCCAAATAAAAAGCAACTCAGATGTCTACAAACCATAGTTTAGATCAATAAATTGTACTATATTTATACACTTATATACTACATAACAATGAAAATGACCAAATTACAGCTATACTTCATGGATAAAATCCTACTAATATATGTTGGGTGAAAAAATAGAATACATCCTATGTAATTTTAATATGTAGAGTTTAAAAACAAACAATGCTATAATGCTTAGAGATGCACACACAGGTGGTAACACTATAAAGAAAAAAATATGTGGCTGTCACTCATAGAACTGAAAATGATGGATGTGATTACCATAAAGTTCAGGCTAAGGATTACAGCTAAAATTATTAGATTAAAAAGTGACAAACAGATGAGTCTTCTGGTGATGCTAATTTCTTGATTTGCATTTTGGTTAATTTTTTTTATTGTTATAGAGAAGAAGGGAGAGAGAAAGAGAGAGAGAAACATCAATGTGAGAGAGAAACATCAATCTGTTGCCTCCTCAATGTGCCCCCACTGGGATGGAACTGGAAACCTGGGCACATGTCCTGATGGAGAATTGATGATGCTCCAACCAACTGAGCCGCCCCAGCTAAGGCAATGTTGGTTACATTTTGACTTAGGTGTTCAGCTTATATTTGCTATATCATGTATTTTCTCTATTATGTTAACTTTCAAAATTATAAAATTTTTAAAAAGAAACAAAAGTGGAAAGACTGTACTGTATTTGAATTGCAAAATATCAAAAGTTCGTGTTCATTAGTAATTACTTGGAGTAATATACTAGATGATCAAGTAATGGTTATCTTAAAATGAATATTCAGTCATCTAGAACCAATTGAAAATGTTGTATTTATTAAATCTTAAGTTACTCAGCATTCAGTATTTTAGATTGTAGAGCAAGCATGTCCAACTCATGGCCCATATATATTTTTGCAGCCCAGCCAATACAATGATATGTAAGAAACATTGTAATAAAAAATTCTTAACTTGATTTTTACAATATCCTGTTATACATAATTATTAATAACGAACTACAATGTTCATTAATTATTTATTACTATAATCATGTTGCATTCATTTCCCTTATGCGCAGGTGCACCATTTCTCCCCACTAATACTAGCAGCGAATATTTTAACAGCTGATTGCCACATCGTTAGTCTTGGACTGACATGTTTGGTGTGTACAACAGAAAATATTTCACTTTCAGCAAACAAGAAAAATAAGTTTATTTGCATTACGCTTACTAATTTGTGCAGTTATTCAGTGTCTGATAAGTTAATGTTCAAGAAAAATATTAATTTTTATTAAAATATTCTATTAATTTATATTAAAGATTACTCATTTATTTCAGCCCTTTGTATTCAGCATGTCTCTATCTAAATAAACACCGTTTCTATGAAATTGAAACTTTTGGGGTTTTTTTTGCAGTCCCCATAAACTTAAACCTTGTTTATTTGGCTCCTGTTAGCCTTGGAGTTTGACATGCTTGTTGTAGAGGAGATTCCTGTATTGAGTTGAAGTTTAGACATTTTCAAGATTCTGTGATTCTGTGAAATAGCTGTCCCAGAAGTAATGCACTGCCTTTCTCTGAAACAGTTAAGCAAATTCCAGGATGTTGTAAGAGAGTTTATTGTACAAAAGATTCTAAAAGTAGACAGCTGGAGAAAAGTGCACCACATTGCCTTCCAACATTAGACAACAATTTAAATTGTGTGGCCATGTATTCCTTTTAAGAATCTCTTCTATTCTCTCTCTCTCTCTCTCTCTCTCTCTCTCTCTCTCTCTCTCTCTCTCTCCCCTCTCTCCCCACTTCTCTTCCTCCCTTTCACTCATTTGCTAACATTTATGTGGATGTATGACTATACGCAATTGAGCATTGGGCTTGAAATAAAATTATAAAATTTGGATAAACTTGTTGCCCAATTCCTTATATCTTACCTTCTTGGAAAGACTGTCTCCTCTACATGGGATACTGTATAAAATCATTCGGCAGCTTCCTTGGATTCTCTAGAGGCTGTCTTCTCATCAAATTATGAATAATAAATAGGTAAATAATAAATAGATAATCCTAACTTGTTTATTAAAAATTATAAAAGATAAAACTTTGGCTTTTAATAAGCTACTCAATCTATTAGAAGAAAATAAAAGGACTACCAACTCCAAAAGCCAGGATTCATGCCCTTCTTTAATTGCAACTGGCTAATAACCTATCTCAAGTTAGAGTAACTTAGAGGCATATAAAACTAATTAAGAAAAAGAATGTGGTTAAGAAACATAAATGTGTGGAAACACTTTGACATCTTGTGAAGATGAATAAGAGACTCACCTTTAACAAGGGATAATTGATACTTGCAGTCCACATGTTGGTAAATGGAGCTTCCAGAACAATAGCATCAACTGGGGATCCTTGAAAATATAAAAAAGAAATAACTCCCCTAGCATATTTAAATATCACCTTCCCTAAATAAGGGGTACTAAAGGTCTTGTACATCATTTGTGAAACTTATTAATAATGCAGATTCCTGGACCCCACTCCAGACTTACTGAATCAGAAGTCAGAATCTCAAGGGGGGGGGGGGGGGGGGGGGGTGAGAATGTGCATTTCTAACAAGCTCCCCCACCCACCAACCAAGAGATTTCCCTGCACATGGTAGTTGCAAACCAGCACCTTCCTCTAAAACAAAACCAGATCATCAAGCCTTGGGTAATTTCAGAAAGCAAAGTACTATGGGAAGGAAAACTGTTCTGCGGTTCACTGTTAAGAATGTGCCAGAGGCTGATTAGGTTGTTTTGGCCAACACTTTCCCAGAGAACAATTAGAAAATGTGTGTCAAAGGAGATGTGCATGTGTATGTGTGTGTTTGAAGGCACCTGAGGGCTGCTAAATCAGTGAGATTTTGTAAAGCCAAGACCAAAAGGAAATCTCAAGAACAGTCAGAGAAAAAAGCATTTTCTTCAAAGGAGCAACAGTAAGACTGGCAGCTGACTTCCTAATAAAACAGTGAAACCCTGAATAACGTGTTGGAATAAAATTATTACCAACCTAGAATTCTATGCCCAGTGAAAATATCCTTAAAAAATGAAGATGCAATAAAGACATCTTCAGACCAAAACTGAGAGAATTCATCACCAATAGACAGGCAGAAAAAAAATCCCAGGTAAAAACAGAAAAATGCTGAAACTAATAAAGAGCAAAGAAAAGTAAATCTAAATATTGGCTTTCATAATGTAAGAAGAATAATGTTTTATGGAGTGTGTACAGAGTAAATTAAAATACATGATAGCAAGAGTTCATAAGCTGAGGAAGTGGATGGAACCATAGTGTTCCAAGGTCACTGCATTATCTAGGAAGTGAAGTATTCATGTATGTGAGAATTTAGTTCAGATATTATAACAGAGTCAACACTGTGAAGGAAGTGACAGGGAGCTGTGAGAGCTTAGTGGAGCATTGAAATAATGCTTAGTTTATTTACATATGTAATTAAGATTGTGAATAGCAGGTGACTTGCTTTAAAATGTTTACGTAACTCCACCTGACCTCTATTGCCAAGTAAAGTTTAAGATGTGATGCAAGCGACTACAAGCTTTTAATGTTGTCAAAGTCACCTTGTCCTATTCACAGAGATTCCAGTCATGAAAATAGATCCAGGAAACCTGTGTTTAAAAAAAAAAAAAAAAAAAAAAAAAAGCATCCCCAGGAGATTCCGATACAGGCAGTTCTCAGGACACTTTTAGAAATGCTGACATAAATATTATGTAAGAAGGGCTGCAGGGAGCAAGCCCTGCCTGTTATTCCATACGCATTATTTTCCTCTCCTGTGACCCAAATGGCTCCGTAATAACAGTGATTATCACTTCACATCGAGGGCTCTTTCAAAGGTAATTTTAAGTCTCTCCTTGGTATTTATTTTTTAATTTCATCATCTTGAAAAACAACTTTTTTTTATTATTATTAAATGGAGAGAAAAATGAACGTTTGCTGCATGATCAGAAACTGCCTAAAGTTGGGGTGCTTTAGTGTCTCTGTGTTGGAAGTGTACCCAGTAGTCTCTTGACCCTTTTCAGTTCCCCATCTCCAGCCAGGAAATTATACCACGAATCATTGGATAGTACCTTTCTCTTCCAGGACTCTTGCGGCATTCGTTACAACTCTGGAAAGCAATGAAAATTAGGGCATATGTGAAGCCGTGACTTAAAGGTCAAGTAAATGATACAAAATGGGACACCCAGCCGGAGCATCTGATGGAAGCTCTAGAAGCTCCGGTTAGAAAATGCACATAGACACAACATTTTGCACAGGGTTTCCAGGGGTCCCCTGACTCTAAATTAAGTACCCTTTTCCTTAAAACTCTCAAGGAGAGCTCTGCAATGGGCTCCAGAGTCACAGGTAACTGTAGGGCTCCCGTGTTTTACGAACAGACACACAGAGGGCAAGGTTTCCAGCCACATGTGGGAAGTGAGAGAAGCCAGAGAGTCTCTGTCGCCACTGGTGGTCCGTGAGGTCCGAAAGGTTGGCGACTGCTGCCCTAGCACCATGGTTGGCAAACTGCGGCTCGCGAGCCACATGCGGCTCTTTGGCCCCTTCAATGTGGCTCTTCCACAGAATACCACTGCCTGGGCGAGTCTATTTTGAAGAAGTGGCATTAGAAGAAGTTTAAGTTTAAAAAATTTGACTCTCAAAAGAAATTTCAATCGTTGTACTGTTGATATTTGGTTCTGTTGACTAATGAGTTTGCCAACCACTGGGTTGGGCATTGCTCCTTTCAGGGCTCACTCCTGCCTGGAGCCCCAAGGACCGCACCCCATGGACCCATCGGCAGACCCCACTTACCCTGTACCCAGAGAGTGGCCCCAGAGGCACACGGGGGTGGAGCCACTTCTTGCCTTGGTCCACTTATAAACACAAATAGCGTCCGCAGTCAGTCCCTCCTCTGTGGGCTTACCCGTAGAGTCCCCGAACCCTGGCAGCAAGAAAAGGCAAACACAGTATCACCGCCTCCAAAGTGGGAATCACGGAAAGCCTCCTGCTTCTGGAAAAATCTGTGCACTGATCTTAGCACATACCTCTGTAGTCAACAGACAAGACGTGAAAGCCACCATCGCTCAGCACCTAGATGACAAAGGAGCCGTTATCTTCCATTAGAAGGCGCAGACAGAAAAGGTTTGGCATTTCCATAACCCTCGTTGTGACACTTTAATAAATAAGTAGGGAAAAGATTTATTTTTGAAATCTGGTGTTTTCCTTCAATCTTGAGATGGCCAGACTCAATGGGAAGTAAGGAGCGCAGTGTGGCAGACTGGGTCCGACAGCCTGGGTCCCAGTGTGGCTCTGCCACTTGCCAGCTCCGTGACCTTGGGCCACTTGCCAGCTCTGTGACTTTGGGCAAGCCAGTTAACATTTAAATATGCCAATGTTATTCTGAAAAGTGAAAAACAATAGTAGCTGCCTTTAGGATTGTTGGAAGATTACATGAGATGACATATTAAAATAACTTGGTACATAATAAATGTCCTTTTTAAGAATTCCCTTGAGTATAAGAACTCTATACAGAATTGTAGTAGAGGCAGTCAAATAAGAGGGAGATCATTATATTAAATACTAGAGGCCTGATGCACGAAAATTCATGCAAGAGAAGGCTTTCCTTCCCTTGGCTGCCGGCTCCAGCTTCCCTCCAACACCCAGGATCTGGGCTTCCCTCCTCCGGCCACCGGCAGGCACCTGGGACCTGGGTGGCTTCCCTCCAGCCCCCGGCTTCCTCCAGAAGGTCATCTGGTCTAATTAGCATATTACCCTTTTATTATTATAGATAAATAGATAAAGAGTTAATATTAATCAAAGATAAAGAGATCGTTGGATGATATCAAACTACTGCCAAACCCTATGTAGACAAACGAGGAAAGAATATGAAAACATAACTTTGAATTACAAAGATAGACAGAAAAAAGGACAAAGTTTACTGTACAGACACTTTTAAAACTAAATCCTCACAATAGCCCCATAAGGTCGGTATTCTCCCCATGTAACAGATACAGAAACTGAGCCGTGGGTGGAGAGTTTAGATCACATGTGTCAAACACAAGGCCCGCAGGCCAAATCCGTCCCGCCAGGCCTTGCAATGTGGCCCGCACCGCACTGTCATCACTGCACTCCGCTGCGTTTCCATCACAATGACAGTTTATGACTGTTCAGTAAACCATTCGGCCCGCGATTTAGGCTGGATTTTAGATTTTGGCCCCTTCTCTGATTGAGTTCGACACCCCTAGTTTAGATAATCTGTTCGTATTTGGTCACCCAAATGTCTAGAGGCAGAACCAAGATTCACACCTGGGCCTGCCTGTGTCCAAATACCGTGCCTCCTCTCCCGCGGCTGTGGGTGGAAGTGGGTGGCTGAAACTCATTATGAACTTTTACATACAAACAGAACTGATAGCCCTAGCTGGTTTGGCTCAGTGGACAGAGCATCGGCCTGTGAACTGAAGAGTTCCAGGTTTGATTCTGGTCAAAGGTACATGCCTGGGTTGCTGGACTAATCCCCAGTAGGGGGCATGCAGGAGGCAGCCAGTCAATAATTCTCTCTCATCACTGATGTTTCTATCTCTCTCTCTCCCTCTTCTTTCCTCTCTGAAATCAATAAAAATATATTTTTAAAAAATAGAACTGATAATGAGAAAATAAATGTAACTTTTTAATACCTATTTAAACTACATCCATTAAAAAAAAAAAGTTATCTAAGAGGCAGGACAGTTAAGCACCCAGGGAAATAGAAATATTCGTGTGTTATTTGTGACACTGTAAACTGAAGGACCATTTGACAATCCAACTCAAGAATAACAACAGCAACGGAATCTAAGAATTTATCTCTGGGGGAGGGGAGGGGGGAATCCCAAAGAAGAATAAACTTAATGCTTAAAGTTTTCTGTAGCAATTTCATTTCAAAGTCACCACCTATCCAAATAAGTAAAGGAAGAGCCCAGGAGGCGCGGTCAGGCTGGGAGATGAGGACGGTGGCTGTGGTATCCAGAATCTGCCCGGGGGAAGAAGTGCCATCATACCTTCCCACCCACCCCTGCTGCCACAGGGATGACTACACCGCCAACTCTTCCTTCTGTGCACACAAGGGACCTCCCAGCTCTGCCAAGAGTGGGAGGGACACATCAGCTTTACCACCATCCCCTGTGGGAAGTGCAAAGAGAGGGGTGCAGGGTGGAGAGCAGACCTAAACACTAATGGGCATCACCACCCCAGGCAAAACTGTATCCAGCCTTCCACTCCTCCGCCAGAGGCAGCTCTGAGAGGCAGTGGAGAGAGGAGCTTCCTGTCTGAACAGGGGAGGGAGGATGAAGAAGGGGCTGGGGATTCTGGGCCCCACTCTTACTGTTAAATCAAGAAAGAGTGGAGGTGGGAGCTGGCACATGACAGGCGAGATCATGTCTTGTGGTCAGTAATTGGACAAGCTGCCTGGTCACCTGTGGCAAAAATTACCCAACTGGCGTGTGGGAGAGGATCAACAACCTGCCTGACAGGCTCTGAGTCAGAGGCAGAGACGGTGAGTGCAAAGCCTGCCCTCTCCCTCACACCTGGAAATGCTAGGGGCTGCCCCCGAAAACCGCAGTCCTGGAGCAGGCCAGGACAGTTGAGTGTGGCCACCATCCATGCTGCTCCCTTCATGGAGCTGAAGCCAGGGTGAATGACTTAAAAACAGACACTCTATGTCTTTACCCTGTATCACAGAAACGGTTGTTTCTTGTAGGAGTGACTTTTGCACCTAGTACAGGGTGTCCCCAAAATGTATACACGCTTGGAATGATTATTAATTCCAGTGGGTTAAATCGGAAAAGAAAGAAACATCAATTGAGCTATCAGCTCTCAATCCATCCCCCAGCCTCAGAAAGGCAAACAAATATGTCATCAACTCCATCTGCTAATGAAGGCACATCTATTTTGATCCCCCATGGTCAAGGCTGGAAGGAAAGTCCACTCACTCATGGGACTTTGGGCCCCAGACACCAAATCCACTCTGGGGAGCTCTCAGTCGATAACCTTGCCGAAGCTGAGGAAGATCCATGGACCTAGCCCAGAAAAGAATACATGGAGACATGGAGACATAAATGGGTGCCTCGGGGCCCCTTCAGACATACCTTTACTAGATTAAGCCTGTGACGAGCTGCCCTGTAGAAAAGGTTAAAAAAAAAAAAAAAAAAAAAAAAAAAAAAAAAGAGAGAGAGAGAGAGAGAGAGAACAAGATTTAGAAATTGGGAAGACAAATTCAGTAAAAGTCGCGATCATGCTGCTGCCATTTGATCTCACACCTGTCTTCTTCGGGTCAGAGAAATAAATAACAAGGAGAAAGGGGAACGGATGTGTCAGGGGAATGACTGAGGGCCCCGCTGCTGCCCAGCTCCTCTGCATGAATGCTGGGTGCCAGGTCTCCACTCCTTGTCATAGCATTTGATGACTAAGCATTAAACCCATCTCCTCGCACTCCTGCACAGCAAACCTTATTTCTAATACTTTCAGAAGCTAACGGGAAGTAAGTCCCAGAAAGTGGCTTCTTAGAACAAAAGGTGATTCGCTGCTCTAAGATCTATCTGGTCCCCATCCACTCAGCCACCAAGTGTCGGATGAAGCAAAGGATACTAGCAGGTTCTCCCTCCTTCCAACTGGTGGGCAGAGTTATGACATTACTGGCATCTGTCACAAAGATATCCCCAAGACATTGAACCACCAATCAGCGCGTGCCAAAGTGTCCTGGAGCCCACCCCTTCCTGTTCTGCTCTGGGTCCAACCCTCTCCTGTTCTCCCCCCTCAAAAAGACCCCCAGACCAGCCACGTGCTGCTGATCCATGCCCAGGCGGCAGCCCGGCTAGGTCCCCTGTCCCCTCCCCACTCCTTCAATTCTGATTTCTCTACCTCCGTAATGAGTCCCACTCATTACTGGGGAATAAACTTTACTTCAAAATGTCTTGGTGGTCAGTTTCCTGCACCTCAAACCTTACAGATACTCACGTCCCTGGTACAAGAAACATTGGTTTCCAGAATAACTATATCATACGTGAATGAAACAGAAGGTAACAACTCAAAAGGCAGAGACTTTAACATTTTGTCTCAGAGCCAAGTTTTATAAACCTTTGAACATGTGGTTGAAGCTCTGGACCCATTTCCCAAAGGGTAAAAGGTATTTACTTACACTTCAAATTTTATGTACAGTTTTGGGAGGGGGTTCATGGCCCCTCTTGGGCTTTTATGGGTCCCAAGTCTAGATCCACTGTTTCCATCAAGGTCCCCCATAACCTCTGTTTGGCCCCCTTTCAGCTCAGGACTACTGATGCACGTTGAGACTTGTGGGCAGGGGCCAGGAAGAGGCTGGAGCTGACCCCTGAGCTAGTGAATCTGTGATGACTGAAGCAATAGCAGTCTCCAGCGGGGCAGACAGGAATTATGATTGGCTGGATCTGCAAGCAGGTGCATTGGAACACATGTGCAAGTCCGCACTATCAGACCTATGTCAAACCACGTTGGAAAATAGTAAATTCTCAGCCAATATCTGTAAATGTGATTCTAAAAGGGACACCTAGAGAAAGCCCTTGAACAATGGCACGTCTTGAGAAAGCCATCATCTGACGGTGACAGTGAGAAAAAGAGACCTAGGCAAGGGAGCCAAGGGACAGATGCCAGGCCTTGTCACTTAGTTTGAAGTGTCCCTCCGGAGACAGAGCCAGGTCAGTGGGTCTGCGAGGCACACTGCCCTCCCCCACGCTGAGGTGGCCCAGCACCGCTGATAAGCATCACCCACCACAATTCCAGGCCCACATCAAAGGGGGTGTGCAGGAGGCTCTGGCAGCACATAAAAGGAGAGCCAGGCTTCTGGGAGGCATCTTTGTCACAAAGCAAGGCTGGGACCACAGAGAGGAAGCTGGGGCATCAATATCCTGGGCTAGAATTCAGTACCTATGGTCAGAATTCCAGGTGATCACTGGAAGTTCATACTGTTGATTAATAGGATTTGTGCTAAATAAAAGGGTCTTTATGTATTTCTGTGAAAAGACCACTAATGTGGAAATTGCTCTTCCTACCCCCATATGTCATGCATATTCCCTTTCCAATCATCCATGGGGTCAATCCATCATTTCAGACACTCTCAGGGAATAAAGGAACCACTGCATTCCTGGAAAACTAATATCTAAACCTTATAAATTCGTATCCCTCTCAGTTAAGGATCAACATTATTCTACATATGGATTTTGTTTTTAAATAGAAGCCTACTGCTAGAACAGCATCAAATTTCATCAAAGGCCGAAACCAGTTTGGCTCAGTGGATAGAAGATCGGTTTGCAGACAGAAAAGTCCCAGGTTCGATTCTGGTCAAGGGCATGTACCTGGGTTGCGGGCACATCCCCAGTGTGGGGGGGGGGGGTGCAGGAGGCAGCTGATCCATGTTTCTCTCTCATCGATGTTTCTAGCTCTCTGTCCCTATCTCTTCCTCTCTGTAAAAAATCAATAAAATATATATTTTTAAAAATTTATCAAAGGGGAAAAAAAATACATGGAGGCATGCTTAGAGTTGAAAACTGAGCCCTGCCTTTCACTCCCTTACAGAGCTGAAATGCTCTGTCTCTCTGTCTTTAAATGAATGAGTGAATAAGTGAATGAATGAATACCCAAGCAAAGCCACTGACCTGTGTTCTGCACTGCCATGAAGATAGACAATAATTGGGTTGCCATCATGAAGGGCTGCTTCGTACCAGCAACGGTCCTTTCCTTTAGCATCTTCCCCCCGGCAGCTGGGAACTGTGTGCCTGAAGAGCAAGGAAAGTTCTCGACAAACATGGACAGAGAGAAGAGTTCCCCATCCTTGCCAAAGTCTGAAACACTCCTTATCTCAGTAAGATAGATAGATGATAGATAGATAGATAGATAGATAGATAATTTTGCATATATAGATATTTATATCAGTAGTATATGCACATGCTAGAGATTAAACTATAATACTACAAAGAATCCTATAATGAAAACCACTATTGCTCTACCCCGTCTCCCCCATGCACAGAGACAACCCCTTTTTACCATTTACTGTTTTAGTTCTTCTGACTCCCGCACCTAATAATCTTCCAACACTGCTGTTCTTGGGTTCAATCCACCAAAATGCAGTCCATTGAGTAGAAACAAGTAAAAGATAACAGATATTTGTACATACTATTGTTTTGACTGAATAGACAAGTTGGTAAGAATTTACAAGGAAATCCGTTTAGGTGAGAAAAAAAGAACTGTCACATGAAACTAAGCTATTTTACTCAATAAACCCAGTGACTTTGTGATATTTTACTAGTAAACACCTGTCTGAGCTTCACTCCCTCCACCCTGTTAAACCAATGAATAAACCCTGAAAATATAAACACTGCCACATGACATGTCATAAGGTGACTTGGAGAACTGACAAGTCCTCAGTCCTCTAAGTCTTTAGAGGCAGACAGGCTCACAGCAAATCCCAGGGCCTCTGCCCTGAGAAGACAGGTACCACTGCAGCAAGAGATGCCAACTAGACATCCACTCACCAAACCAAGGATCAATGGTGTTAGGATTAACAATAAAATGATAGCCCTAGCCAGTTGGGCTCAATGGATAGAGCGTCAGCCTGCAGACTGAAGGGTCCCAGGTTCGATTCCGGTCAAGAGCACGGACCTTGGTTGCAGGCACATCCCCAGTAGGGGGTGTGCAAGAGGCAATTGATGGATGTTTCTCTCTCATCAATGTTTCTAATTCTCTCTTTCTCTCCCTTCCTCTCTGAAAAAAAATCAAGTATATATAATTGATTTTTTAAATATATATATATATTTAAAAAGAATAAAAAGATTGTCATACTCCAATATTCTTAACTGAACTGTCCCTGCAGTTTAGGAAAAAGTTATGTGAATATATTGGTTCCTAAACATTCCATGATCACATGATTAAATTTGGGGAGATGAAATATAAATCAGCACTGGAAAATTGGCAGCCAAGAACAGTAGTAGAACCAAACAAAAGAAGATATTGAGATTAGTGTATTTAAAAGGAAATAGAATGCCCATGACTCTGTTTGACAAACATTTGTTGAGTTCCTTCTCTGTGCCAGGCACTGTTCTAAGCAATGAACACCCACCAACAGAGTCACCTATGAAAGATATAGTCTTGGTCCTGGCCAGGTGGCTCAGTCGGTTGGAGCCTCATCACATACATCAAAAGGTTGCTGGTTTGATCCCCAGTCGGGGTGCATATGAGAGGCAACCAATAAATGTTTCTCTCATGCATCAATGTTTCTCTCTGTCTCAAAATCAATAAAAAAAAATATATACTCAGGTGAGGATTAAAAAAAAAAAAAGACATAGTCTTATAAGGGAAGACAAACACAAGTAATCACACAAACATTCCTTAAATTACAGTGGGAATCAATGCCATAAAGGACAAATACAGGCTGCCAGTAACATATGCCTAGAATGGAGATGAGGAAAAGCTTCCCTGAAAATCACCTAAGACCCAGAGGGTGAGTAGGCAGTTAGTTAGGAAGAAGGCAGGACAGAAGGAGCAGGGAAATAGCATTGTTGCAGACACAGAGTGTGGCTTGGTATGCAAGGAGGCCGGTGGATCTACAGCACAATGGGAAGAGTGGTTGGTGTAGAACACGTCAGGAGGAGGGGCCAGGGCCAGGTCCTCCAAGCCTGGAGAAGGACCCAAAGCAGCACAACACCTAAAAATTGTCACACTCCAAAGTAACGTTCCTGGAAGGCTCCCTGAAGCAGGTCAAGTATCAGTACAAAGGGAAGGCGCATGGAGCAGCTCCAGGGTGCCTCCAAGGACACCAACCTCTCCCCTGAAGTAGCCCAGCACTGCTCACCCCTGCCCTTGTAACACAAACACCAAGTCCATACGCAGCCCAGTGTCCAGGCGGTCACTCACCAGATTCCCAGAATCACCCCAGGCTCAACCTTGATATAGAAATTCACTGTGTGAGGCATCTTTAACTCCGGCTTCTTTAAGTCCACAAGAAACGGTGCTTTGACTGGAAGGCAGAAATCATTATCATCTCCAGAATCAAATCCCAGGTGTATTTGTTTGTTTTTTTATCACAATCAAAAAAAGTAATTAGTTTTGTAGCTAACATGTTTCTCAGTTGCAAGCTACTACGCTAAATTCTTAGCAACATATTTTACCTCTTTTTTGTTAAATGACATGGTATTTTGTACACATGTGTTATGATAGTTATGTTTTCTTGCTCTAATTTCCCTTATACAATATTTTGCTACCATAAATTCTATTTTGTCAGTTACTAAGCTACTTACCCCAGCTTTATTCTGACCTATGGTTAGTTGGTCTATCTTTTTTCACAATTCTCTTTCTGTGTCATTTTTTTTTCTTTTTCTTTTTTATTAGTGTGTCTGATGAAGATTATTTATCCTTGGAACTTGTTTTTTTTTTGTTTTGTTTTGTTTTTAATCCAATCTGAGATTCTAGGTTTTCCATTGATGAGCTTGAAATATTTGCAATTATTTTATATTTAATATATTTCAACCACCCTACTTCATATTTTCCATTTATTGGTGTATGTTTTTCTTTTCTTTTTTCTCTTTCATGATTTCCATTTGGACAAAACTACTTTTCTTCTTTTGGTTTAAAAGGAAAACATGCTAGTTTTGTTCCTATGGTAGTTACTCTTAATTAAGCAAAGTGTTTTATTTTATAAACTAGGACTAGCTTATAGAAGAATTGGCCAAAAAAAATTCTTTAAAGCTAGATTTTTAAAATAGCACTGGTGAGTGGTAGCTCATAGCAGGGAATTTATTCAATCCTTATCCTTATCTGGAGCTAAAAGCAAAGGAGACCATTTCTCTAAAAAGATAAGAGGACCTAGAACAGGTAATGAGTGTTCTGCTACTGTCAAGTGTTACTTTTTAAAGAGAAATGTCCAGAATAAGCATACAACACCTAGGGACCTGTAGGTGAGAATATTACCCATGGACTAGAAGGATTTTGTAGTGCATTGATTAACATAGCACTCAGTGGAAAAGACATGGGAAAATAGAATCCCACCATCAGCACTTCTCTCTCTCTCTCTCTCTCTCTCTCTCTCTCTCTCTCTCTCTCTCTCTCTCTCGACAAGAATAGGAAGTGAAAATATAGACAAGAAGAGGAAGTGAAAAAGAGAATACAGTAGGCAGTAAAACATTTGCAGTAATAGTTGATTTAAAGTCAGAGCTCCTGCCGGGACCGGTTTGGCTCAATGGATAGAGCGTCGGCTTGGGGACTGAAGGGACCTGGGTTCGATTCCGGTCAAGGGCATGTACCTTGGTTGCAGGCATATCCCCAGTAGGGGGTGTGCAAGAGGCAGCTGATCGATGACTCTCTCTCATCGATGTTTCTAACTCTCTATCTCCCTCCCTTCCTCTCTGTATAAAATCAATAAAAAATATATTAAAAAAATAAAATAAAATAAAGTCAGAGCTCCTTAATTGGAAAACTACCTACAAAGCCATGGTTTTCTATCTCCAACAGATTGCAAGGGCCTATGCTAAACTCCAAAGCCATTATTAGTAAATTGATTTCAGACCATTTAACTTGAATCACAACTTTATAACTGCCGTGTTTTCTCATTGTGCCACAACTTTAGGGGCAGTGAGTTCCTTATTTGGGAAAAATATATAGGCAAATACATGAAGGGTACATACTTACAAAAATTAAAATAAATTAGCATGTTCATCAGAGGAGGGAAAATGTGCTCTTTTAATGGTTTACTGGTAAAGCTGTTGTACTGAGTGGCAATTTTTCTTCCGAGAGTTTCACAGCGTTGTGGAATAGATCTGCAAGACATCGTGAAACAAACAGGGTATTCAAAAATCAGTCCAGGTTTTGTTTTTTCTCTTAAGGTCCAAATCAAATTTCAGAGACCAACACAAGAAATTACAGATAACTTGACATTTACTAGTAAGTATTCACAGAACAATATGTAATTAGGGCAGATCAAGACTGGGCAGGCACTAAGGAGAAGCGGGTGAGGAAAGCGATAGGGCAGGGCCCCAACCAGCTGTGGGAAAGCCCAAGCATGACAGGACAGGAGAGGAGGGGACACCAGGCTTATGCCCTCACTGCAGTCCCATAGAAGGACCCTAAAGCCATCAGGAACCAGAATTCAATTTAACCGTTGCCCCAGTTTTTAATTATATCGTAATTCAGTGCTGTATGTGTTAGTTATTATTCTTAGGCTAAAGCAGTACGAAAATAATCATCAGATCATCACTCTTCTGACTGGGTCTCAGGAAGAAATGAGCCGATAAGAGAAAAACCCTACTTCTGATGTGTCATCCCTGCTGAAAGGGACCACGAGGAGCAGAGTGGGGAGAGGGGAGGACCTGGAGGTTGGCTACAACAGGGCTGGGGCCTGCTCAGGGGAGCACACAGTGGGGTCATGCATATTGTTTATCCTACTGTTCCCTGTGTCACAAGCCACCTAAACTGGGAGCCATCAGCAGACAAACTATGATTTGTCCATGACTAATGTCGGTCTCTAGCCACATCTCTCAAGAGGGATGCTTGTCTTTGACCTTTGAGAAACAAGATCAGTGTCAATACCTCCTGTTTCCAGTTTTTGTCCACATCTCTTTCCCTACTGTGAGCAGTCAATGTAAAGACTGCTCCGTGTGAGCAAACCGTGCGGTCAGGGATGCGGAAAAGCACTTTTGATGAATTGTTTCCCCTAGACCAGAGGCAGAGAGAAGATAACTATCGTTACCTGTACTTCCTTCAAATGAGAAGACTGACAAGTTAAGTGACCTGCCCAAGGTTACACAACCGGTGAGTGGCACAGCCATCTGACCAGGTCTTTCTGACCCCAGAGTTCCGTGATGACCTCCCGTGAGCTGTCACACTCCTGGGAATTCATCTGGCCACTCATGCAAGCAAAAATGAGCCCCAGGGGAGAGGCTGGTCTCCGGCAAAACTCAGTTCTTGGAGAAGGCTGATTCAGGACCCTCTTCTCGCATTCTGCATGTTCGCCCCCTCTTAGGGTCCCTTCCTGCTCCCACTTACTCCCCACTTCCTGCACCTGTATTCTCGGGAGTCTTCTGATACCAAAGTAACAAAGAATGACCTCTAAAAAAGAAAACGTCCCTCCAGTGTTAATAACTTAAAAGCCAGAGCGCTTAGAACGTTTGGGAGAGGCCTGGAGGAAGGAGATAATGATTTTCCGATGGATTTCCAACAACTCTGCAGGGAGTGGAAAAGATAGGTGGGCTAAGGGCAATGAACAGCTCTTCATATACGTCAGACAGAGGCATGAACTGCCTACTCATGAACCCAGCAAGAAAGAAATGAAAATGATGGTTGCATAATATTTTAAAATAGCCTTCACGAAGGTGGTAGAAAGGAGAGGACATTATTGTTCTGAGTTTAAAGATAAGACATCAAAACCTAGAGAAGTCGCTTTGAGCCACAGATCAAGCCAAACCAGGCAGAACTGAACACAATCGGAATTCTGATGCTTCCTCCCAGTCGGCCAGCCCCAGCTTTCATTCTTCTGCCTCTCTGAACTCTGGCTACCCCTCCTGTTAGGCTCCTGCCAAGTTATCTTTTGAAATTAGTGGGGTGCTTGGGAGGCCGAGGCAGGAGAGGGAAACTTGTTCCTGTTTTTGAAGAATAATTCATACAGGACCCTTCTCTCCGATAGCTGAAGGCACTTCTGTGAGAAAGAACACAGTGGCCGAACCCCTTGGCATAGGGACAGCGCTGCTTTTAACGAGGGGATTGTCAGTTTGATGTCCCCCAGATCGGTGGGGATCAAAAGTCACCGGTGGCTGAGAGATCTTATTTGAGCGGAGGATGCAGCGTCAGCCCACTCCCCGCTAACGGGCAGCCACATCAAACAGCCACCTGGATACTTGTGCTCCTTCGCCTGCCCTTTGATCAGCAGCAGCTGCACCTGCACAGCCTCCTGCAGGAGCCACAGGAACTAACGGGATGCATCTTCCTGGAGAAACCTGGTGGGGCCTGAGCTGCTACAGGGCAAACCATTCATGCTTCGTGCTCAGAGGTGTCTACAAACCAGCTTGGGGATGCCCAAACCTAATTACATTTGGCAAGACAGCTATTCCAAATACTAAGGCATGCTGCATAGCCACCACCATTGGCGCCCATTCATTCAGCCAACACGCACTGATCACCAAGCAGCAAGGTACATCTGCGTCCTCCCCTCTTCTTTCCTCCCTACCAGACCGTCCCCTCCCTTCCCATGCACTCAGCTGTCCCTTCTCTGTCAAAGCCTCTCTAAACTAAGGTGACCAGACATCCCACTTTTGGTGGGACAGTCCTGATTTTTAACAATTTGTCCCGCGTCCCACGGCGTTTTAGAAATCTTTCCAAAAATCGGGACTTTTTTTAAAACGCTGAGGGGCTCGGGACAAATTGTTAAAAATCAGGACTGTCCTGGCCACCTTACTCTAAACAGATCTTCCTATGGGGACCTTTCTTCTCTTTTCACCCCTCCCACCAATTATAATTGGAGCCTTCATTGTTGCCTGATTGTTTTCTCTTCATTAGCCCTGATCTCCCAACTCAAGGCCAGGCTCCGGACAGCAAGAACCACGCCGCTTGCAATGATCTTCTTACATTCCTCTCTGCCCGGCTCAGGGCTGAGCTCGTAAAGATTTGTGGAACAACAGGTAGAAACTGAAAGAAAAGGCGCCCAGCGAGCCCTCATGACGTGAGCTGACCTCAGGTGACCGGCTCCGAGAAACGAAAGCGGCCCGGCATTCTGGATATTGGCCTGGGCCTCAGCCTCAGCCCATGTCAAGTTAGACCAGTAATTTTCAGCTCAGACAAAGAATGCGCTGCTGGCACTTTATTCCTTCACGAAGCATCTCTTGAGACTTATTTTTTTAGTAATTAGTAAGGCACGTCGTAGAGGGTCCCCAATTCTCCATCTCCATTCCAGTCTCAAAAAAAAAGCGACTTGGTCTCTAAAAGCATGACCTGCGGCTCTGATTCTCTGCCAAATAAATGTTAACCCGTCAGCCATCAGCGCTACAGAAAGCTCTAAGGAGAAAGTCAGTAAATGCCAGTTTTCCCAGAACAACGGGCCCTATAGGGAGAGAAGGCCCGCGGATAGGAAGTTTGAAGAGTGCCGTCAGCTGGAATATTCTGACTGGTGTTCAGACCCCACACAAAGGGCGGGGCCTGCACTGCTGGGCCCGGGAGCGCTGCTCTCTGCTTCCTGCCCGGAGCCACGGAAGGAAGAGAAGACAAGATCCATGTTTGTCTTCACCACTTGGATGTCCCAAAGTGAAGTCTCCTTCGTCGATGCGAGTCTTGTGTATTTCATAATGAACAAAATTAAACAAAAACAAAAGTAAACAGCCTGGCCAGCATGGCTCAGTGGCTGAGTGTCCACCTTTGAACCAGAAGGTCATGGTTTGATTCTGGGTCAGGGCCACATGCCCGGGTTGCTGGCTTGATCCCCATTATAGGGTGTGCAGGAGGCAGCCAACCAATGATTCTCTCTCATCTTTGATGTTTCTATCTCTCTCTCCCTCTCCCTTCCTCTTTGAAATCAATAACAATAACAATATATATATATATTAAGTAAACAAAAATGCCAATAACTTCCCACACCAACAAAACAAGATATCCTAGTTCCTGGGTCCTGGGTCTCCAAGCAATACCTGGCTGCAATGCCAACAAGGTGGTAATAGATTGCTGGAGGGTTCAGATGGTTTAAGGCGACTGTTTGAGCCAAGGGTTCCTGGAAGGAGGAAAACAAAAACGCATCCACATAGACAGTTCAGATTTAAAGGATGCAAGAACGTGGCCCAGGTGACGCCAGGTGATGGTTTCACTGTCCTGCTCATCTCCAGCATCGTGGAGGGATGTTTGCTCTTTAAATATAGGCCAGATAGTCCACAGCCAGAGAGCCAGCAGCCCTGCCCCACAGCTTCCACCAGACACACACACACACACACACACACACACACACACGACCTAAAGCGCTGCCACCCAAGCATACCACATGGATTATAATGGTCCAGGCAGATAAGAGAGGGGAAGCTGAGCCATCTTTCTGGTATCTCTATTTCAGAAGCCCAGACGGATAGTTTTTTAAAAATCAAACCCAGAGTCTCGGCCAGGGTAGGGGCTGAGGTTGAGGATAAGAGTCATCCCAAGGGCCCCGATCACAGGGCTCTGGGCCTCTGAAGCGCCCCAAGGAGGGCCTTGCGCTCCCCGCGCCCTCCCTGGCCCTCCCTGGCCCTCCCCTCCCCTCCATGAGCGGCCGGGCCGCACTGCGTTCCTCCGGGAGGACAGGTGGCGGCGGCACTCACCGCACGTTCCTCCCGACCATGTCACACCAGGCGGCCACCGCGTCCCCGCAGTCCTCCTGGTCCCCGCAGTCTTCCCCGTCCCCGCGCTCCTCCTCGGCCCCGCGCTCCTCCTGGTCCCCGCGCTCCTCCTGGTCCCCGCGCTCCTCCTGGTCCCCGTGGTACTCCTCGCGCGGCTCCATTGCGCACGGCCGCCGCGGGAGCTGCTGCGGGGCGCAGGGCTCCATCGCGCGCCTCGCGTGAACCGCCGCCGCGGGAGCTGCTGCCGCCGGACCCAGGGCCGCACCCGCCGCCCCCGCCGGCCCAGCCCAGCCCGCCCTTCGGCCCCAAGCAAGCCGCCGGCAGGGCGGCAGCCGCGGGCGCGGGCTGGGGAGGCACACGGGGCGGCTTCGGGGCTATTGGAGGGGACACTCACACACACACACACACACACACACACACACACACACACACAGGCTCACACATACACACACAGGCTCACACACACACACACACACAGGCTCACACACACACACACACACACAGGCTCACACACACACACAGGCTCTCTCTCACACACACACACACACAGGCTCACACACACACACAGGCTCTCTCACACACACACACACACACACACACAGGCTCACACACACACACAGGCTCTCTCACACACACACACACACACACACACAGGCTCACACACACACACACACACAGGCTCACACACACACACACACACACACACACACACACAGGCTCACACACACACACACACTCACACTCACACGCCCGTCCTCATTACTGTATAAGAGATTTCTTTGCCCCTCTGGGTGAGACAGGGCTCATCTGCCCAGGGGGTGAACTGCACCATTGCCCTCTGTGTCCATGTGAGCACTTCCTGTTCTGCGTCTCTTGAGAAGCCCACGGAGCACCAGGAGCTCACACCTCGAAAGGTTGGGCAGGATTCGGGCTTGGGAGGCACTGTCCCCTGAGATGTCCCAGGGACGCCCCAGGGCAAATGTGGGGCATGTGGATAGAGGGAACTTCCCTCTGGAAGCAATTTGATGCGGCATCGAGTCTGCAAATTGGAGGCTAGCTCTACCGCCCCAGAGGACATGGGAGGTTTTGTGGAGCCTGTGCTGTTTGGGCCCCGGACACAGCAGGGGGCTGTCAACCCACAGAAAGCACATCCGGACCCAGTGCGGAGCGAGGAGGCAGGGGGGGAGGAAAGCAGCACACTTTCCAAGAAAGGGGGTTCTCTGTAAGGATCCTGCCATTTCATGCAGCGGGGCAGGCCCGGGGGACTCCTGGTCACCGCCTCTCTTAATCGCTCTGGGAATGTCAACGTCCTGATTCACATCAAGATAGAAGAGGAATCAAAACAGGAAGGACCAAGGGTATCTAAGCCCAACTGACCAGCCAGCTGCAGGTGGATCTTCAGAGGGCCACATCCCATGAGAGACATGGAGTTCCAGGTCCAGCAGGTGCAGAGTCCTCCCTGGAGCTGTTTGTAAAGCCGGTCTGGGATCTCACGGGGAAGCTCTGGGTGAGATCCTGGGCCAGTGGATGGCGGAGGAGAGAGCAGCAGCTGTATTCCGTCCCAGATTCCATTTCCATCTGTTTATTCAGGTTGAGAGGGTTGAGGCCCCCATGCTGGCTGAGCAAACAAACTTGTAAATCCTGAGTCTAAGAAAATGTTTGAAATACTCAGCCAATTCTCTGAAGTTGAAAATCACTACTGCCTAAATTACAGCTCCGGGAGCAAGCTTTCCCGACATTTATAGCTCCTTTTCAAGGGGCACATCCTGGAACTCGGACAGCAGAGCCCCTGGTATGATTTGGCAGGATCTAAACACCAGGTGATGCGTTCATTTATTCGGCATCTACTTACGGAGCAAGTTTTCCATGGCCGGCACCACACTGGGCACCACTGGATATAAAGCCAGATCCTGCCTGAGACAGATTTCTCTGGGGATCAATCATGAGAACTCAAAGTATAATAGAAATTGAAGAGTACCCAAAGGGTGGAAATCAGATCAGGGTGCAGGACCTGGATGTGGGGAGAGGGAACATTTTAGGGTGATGGGAATAGTCGGTATCTCAAGTGTGCTGGAGGAGACGTGACTGCAAACTTTCATCAGAATTCGCAGAGTTGGAAACCTTCCAAGGGTGAGTTTGAGTGTAAATTCTACCTCAATAAGCTTGGCTTTTGGAAAGGTGATCTAACAAATGGGCAGACAGGCTACATGTGTAAACAAACATGTTGATGTGGTAGGAACGTCAAAATAAAGCTCCATGTGGGTACACATGTCAGAAACTGAGAGGTGAATGTTATTTGTGCTTCAAGTAGAAAAAGACATCTTGGTTAAAGATATGCTCATTTTACCACCTAAAATTATTCTGGAAAAAAGAAGTAGGGAAGAAGAGCAGCCACACAGCTGTGTGGTAAATAAAGCATTGAAGACAGAAGAAGGAGCAGACAAAAAATTGCCGACATTTTGCTATCTGAAGAAAATTTTATCTTGAAAATACTCACCCTCCTTGCATTTAAAAAAAAAAAAAAAAAGATAGCTCGCTGGCCAGTGTGGTTCAGTGGTTGAGCATCGATCTATGAACCAGGAGGTAACGGTTCCATTCCAAGTCCAGGCACTTCCCTGGATTGCAGGCTTGATACCCAGTGTGGGGCATGCAGGAGGCAGGTGATCCATGATTCTCTCTCATCATTGATGTTTCCATCTCTCTCTCCCTCTCCTTCCTCTTTGAAATCAATAAAAATATATTTTTAAAAAATACAAATAAATAAATAATAGCTTTATTAAGATATTGTTCACATATCACAAAATTCACCATTTTACAATGTATGATTCAGCCCTGGCCAGGTGGCTCAGTTGGTTGGAATGTTGTCCTATACACCAAAAGATTTTGGGCTCAATTCCCAGCCAGGGCACAAAACTAAGTTTTGGGTTTAGTCCCCATCGATGTTTCTCTTACATCCATCTCTCTCTCTCTCTTTCTTCCTCCCCCCTCTCTTTCTCTCTTCTTCTCTCTCTGAAAATCAATAAAAAACATATTATCAGGTGAGGATTAAAATAATAATAATAAAAAAATAAATTGTATGTTTCAGTATGCACTGTCACCACTATTTAATTTTAGAACATTTCATCACCCCAAAAGGGAGCCCTATACCTCTTACTGGGTCTTGGGGGAATTATATGTGTAATGTTTTGAGGGACCGCTAAACTTCTTTTCAAAGTGGCTGCCCCATTGTACACTCCCACCAGCAGGAGCATTATGGAATTCTCTCTGCATTTTCCCTTGCTGGTTGTTTCCACCTTTTCTCAGCTTTCCATACACAAATAGGGAACTTTTTTAAACAGAAGCTGTTGAGATTGAAATGAAATATTAAAGGGAAGTTTGAGAAGAATTACAAATGATGGGGAGTGAGTAAGGTAATTTTTATTTTTCTACTCTGTGAAGGTTTTGTATTGTCTCTGCCTATATCAGACCTAATTGAAGACAACTCATTGTAGTTACAAGATTGGACATCAGGTATTCTTCGGCGCTTGAGTGTAAGAGTTAGCATGAGCTTCCTTTTGGTAAAAGGGGCGAGTTCTTTGAGAAGAGAGGGTGATGAGAGACTTGAATCTGGAAGTGCTTGTGAGTATCTTTCTTCTGCACTCTCAGGACAAGGGCCCATAGGCACCCTTGTTCCGTGGCAGGAGATGGGCCTTTTGATGGGACGACGGGACCAGGATTAAAGCTCAGGGACTGAAGCCCCCTCTTCCTCTCTACATGCTCCTTTTCAAATTCCTTGGGCCCTTTCTTCAAAGTTAGTTGTCCTGCAGGCTTCCTTCCTCACCCTGCTTCTCTTCTTTCGTTATATCAGCGTTTCCCAAACCATGTTCAATTATTTGGGGAGCTTTAGGCTAAACACAGTAAAACATGTCCCTTTGGCCGGAACCTCATGTCTCACCCTAAATTCACCTTCTGCTCCCCTTGCTCAAAACGTTCTCACCTGCAGGACCCCTGGTTTGAAGAACAGCATCATCTGCATCAAGGGTTCCAAATCACAAACTTGGGGTTCACCCTTGAATTTTCTACTTCCCATAAGCTCAGAATTCCCTTTAGATTTATTTATGGCTATTTCTTGATACAATATTTATTTATTTAACAAATATTTACTGAGCACATTTTATATAATATCTGGCTTGGGAAACTTGTGCTCTAATTGGAAGGACACAACCTACGCAGATGAAAAGCTAAACAACAACCTGAAATGTGTCGTACATTTCAGATAATCGAATGCTGCAGCTGGGCGAGAAACATCTCTGTGGGCGGAAGAGGTCAGTCAGGCAAGGAGTCCAGGGAAGTACTGTTCTGTTGCTTAGAAACAGCCTTGGAGATGAGAGATCACTTTAAATGGCGATCTGAAAGAATCCATAGTGTTAAAACTGGAATATATAGAAGCAAGCAATCACTTGCCAAAACTCTCCATTTACACAGAGGACACTGAGACCCAGGAGACCAGCTGATGGCCAAAAGCTGCTTTCATACAGTATTTATTGAGCGCCCACTGCATACAAGGCACAGCACTTACGCAAAAGAGCAGGCAAGGTGAGATTGATCCTTAAAGGGCACTTGGTAGTCAGTAAGAAACCAACCTGTATTGTCCTAGCCGGTTTGGCTCAGTGGATAGAGCATCAGCCTGAGGAATGAAGAATTCTGGGTTTGATTCTGGTCAAGGGCATATGCCTGGGTTGCGGGCTCGGTCCCCAGTGTGGAGCATGCAGGAGGCAGTCAATCAATGATTTTCTCTCATCATTGATGTGTCAATCTCTTTCTCACCCTCTCTCAAATCAATAAAAATATATTTTAAAAGAAAAAGGAAACTAACTCATGTCAAACATCCCCAGGGACAAGGTGGTGGGATCCACTGGGAGTTGTAAACTGGGTTACTGATTCTTCCACTCCCCCTTCAGAAAAGAAGAATTAAAATAGTTAATCACAGGTTAGTTATTTCTGCTTTGTGAGTAACCGGGGTGGAAGAATTTACCACCACCTACGGCTCCCAGTCATCTCATCAGATCTCCTGGCAGGAGCTTCTGAGGCAATCTCTACAGTGTCCACTCCACGGAGGTGGCCCAGCCTGCGTCTTTGTGGCGTGGAAACCTGGCACTGCGTTTAGGAACAACATAGACAGGGAGGTGGGGAAAGTTTTACCTGTAGAGGGCCGCCTGAGAAGGCACATGGACATCCTTTAAGTTGTCAGCTGAGCCCCAGGCACTGGCAGAG